GCTGAACTGGGGCGAGTGACCAAACCCCTGGGGTACAAGCCATAAGGAGACAGCCGGAGATCAGAGCATAGCCACTGGATCCGGCATCGCGACAGCGGCTTGGAGCCTCCCCCGGAGCCGGATGTGGAGCCGAGAGCCTGGGCACCCGCCGGAGGTGCAGGTCCTGGGGCAGAAATGGAGGTGCTGTAGGGACCCTGACAGGGAGTTCATAGGGCTCGGCAGCAGCTGAGCGGGGTTTGGGGAACGCCAGGGGAGCCTGAACATGGGTCAGAGCTGGAAGTGGGATTTGGGCACCTCTGTCTGAATCGTAAGATCCTGTGCCGGCCCCGGGCAGAGTTAAGGGCATTTGGGGGCCATGCTCTGCGTTTCCTGGCTGAATGGGTTTGTGTTTCTTTTCAGTGTCATGGGGACGGGGAGTCTCTCGGGTCTGCACCACGTGCTGTGGGGATCCCAGCACCAGTCATGGGATATTTCTTACCCCGCAGGGACAGGCACCTCCCCGAACCTTGAACTTCATCTTCATGGAGCTTTCTGCCTGGCGATCTACAAAGAGCCTAGATTCTGCCTGCCCCGACCCTGTTCCTGGGCTCAGAGGTGAGGGTTTGGCCCACCCCTAGGCCTGGGCTGGGCACCAGCTCCCCTGGGTTTATCGCTGTTACACATCAAGATAACAACCCGCGTCTCTCTAGACTGTCCGGGGTAGCTGGGCACCCGGCTGCCACCTGGGCCTGGAAAATCTCCCTCAGTCTTTTCTCTCTAGAATTCTTCCTTCCAATTTCAATGCCCTGGGCTGGCAGCAGCAGGGCCTGGCCCAACAGCCGCTGGGGCTCAGCACAGGAAACTCGGCTGCCGGAGCCCACACGGCTGTCAGCGTCAGCGCACAGACAGAAGCAGCCAGGCAAAGCGCTGGGGGGGGGGCTGTGTGAGCGGAGGGGGGGGAGAGTGTTTGCTGCTTCCCCTTCACATTACAATGCCATTGTATCTTTGCTCTAGGCGGGGCTGGAGGTTCCCAAGCTGCTGGGGGGCTGGGCGCCTGGTTCCCAGGTATCTGAATGGGAATCATACATCCAAATGGCCAAGGTGCTTTGGAGATTCCCAAACCCACAGCATGTTTTAGTGACAACCATGCAACACAATTCTCATAACTTCATATGCATTAGTGATACACATATTTAGATGGAACAGTGGGTTTCAGCAGATCATAACCTTTCCCGTGATACTTTACAAAGCCCGCTTTATATGCAATATCACAACTATAGACAAATGATGAATATGAGGGTTACAGGGCACTCCCCCGGGGTGTAGAGTGTCACACTACTTTATTCCAGTGAGGAACTCGCAGAGATGGTCCCCACCCCCAGCACCAAAGGCCTGTCTACACAATGACCTTCCTCCTGTTTGAGTTATGGCAGTGGCCCTCCAACTTTTTTACTGGTGACCCCTTTCACATAAAGAACAGGAGTACTTGTGGCACCTTAGAGACTAACAAATTTATTAGAGCATAAGCTTTCGTGGGCTACAACCCACTTCTTCGGATGCATATAAACTCTATATGCATCCAAAGAAGTGGGTTGTAGCCCACGAAAGCTTATGCTCTAATAA